AAGGATGAGAATGCAGCGCTCGTCGTGTGTGCATCCGCGTCCCTCATACGGCTTTGTGCCGTACCAGCCCGCTGTGTACCACCCCATGCCCCCCTTGCATGCCTTATCTGGAGCGCCGGCGGCCGCACTGCCCATGAGAGGCTTCTACTACCACCCGCCGCCGCCTCCATACCCCCCTGCTGGCTGGAGCAGCTTCAGCGCCCACCCGAAGCCACGCCGCATGGTCCCTCCCACCACCAGAAGGGCTGCCCAGCACCCTCCCATCGCCGCATCGATGCGGCCACACCATCGGCAGCCAGCACAGCCACGGGAGGCCATCGGTTATGTCGGCCGGGGCCAGCAGGGGTCAGAGAAGGGAGAGGGGATGGGATTCGTGTATGCATGTTGCGGCGGCCAGCCGCATCGCCGGGAGAGGGAGAGCGCGGCGGAGCTCGTCGTCGGGGAGGAGGAGGGCATCGAGGAGGCTTCGGTTGACAGATCTCGCCACCTTGCACCGGGAAGTGAAGGAGCTGTGGAGAGCCAAGTTGAAGGGTTTTGCGAGATCGCAGGGTTTGAAACCCTGGTTCGCGAGAGGAAAAGGATGAGAATGCAGCGCTCGTCGTGTGTGCATCCGCGTCCCTCATACGGCTTTGTGCCGTACCAGCCCGCTGTGTACCACCCCATGCCCCCCTTGCATGCCTTATCTGGAGCGCCGGCGGCCGCACTGCCCATGAGAGGCTTCTACTACCACCCGCCGCCGCCTCCATACCCCCCTGCTGGCTGGAGCAGCTTCAGCGCCCACCCGAAGCCACGCCGCATGGTCCCTCCCACCACCAGAAGTGCTGCCCAGCACCCTCCCATCGCCGCATCGATGCGGCCACACCATCGGCAGCCAGCACAGCCACGGGAGGCCATCGGTTATGTCGGCCGGGGCCAGCAGGGGTCAGAGAAGGGAGAGGGGATGGGATTCGTGTATGCATGTTGCGGCGGCCAGCCGCATCGCTGGGAGAGGGAGAGCGCGGCGGAGCTCGTCGTCGGGGATTTGATTGTCATCTTCTGAGATGAACCATTCTCGATGGCGGACTTGTTCGGCGAGCCGGCCGATAGTATCGTCGCAGTGGAGGATGTCTTCAGTGAGCCGGCCGCCGCCAACTTTGCAGCCAGGGGCAGGACAACAACCGCACCACCCAAGCAGCCCCGAGAAGACTCGCCGCCGCCATCGCCAACCTCAAGCAGCCGCACACCGTCCCCGCCCGCATCGCCAGCACAACCAGTCGTCCCCGCCACCTCGCCAGCGGCCGCGAACCAGCCCTCCCACCATCTCAAGCTGGACAACTTCAGGTTCTTCGAGGCCACCAAGGGGCTGCTGCGCGGGGGGAGGGGCGACTTTGACGTGACAGCGGGCCGTGTGGTGTCGGTCGACGGCGGCGAGCAGGAGGCCATCTTGAACGCCATGTCCAGGGAGGCCGAGAAGACGGCCGGGTGGAGGGGGGAGAGAGGACGCCGGCAGGTCGGCCAACTCACCCACCGGCTGCGGTGGGAGGCGGTCCGCTTGGAGGAGCTCAGCCAGGAGCCCGCCATGCCGCCCCAGCCGCAGTTGGTCTACGAGCCGACCACAGGTGCGGTGTCCCGCCAGGGCACTCGCCGGATGGTGCCCGAGGTGCTGGCCATCGTGTCGGACGCCGAGGAGCTGCGGCCGCACATCACGGTGGTCGACGACGAGAAGGAGGAGACCCCCAAGGTAGAGGAAGAGGGAGGGACTGAGGGAGGAAGGTGTGTGAGCCAAACCAACCACATGGTTCTCTCTCTCTCTCTCTGTCGTGTCCCCTCCCTCCCTCCCCCTCCTCCGTGCATTGCAGATGCGCCGTCGTGGGTTCCTGCGCTGGCCGTGGCGCTGCCTAGGAGCTGCCGACAAGTGCGGCAAGACCGAGCCGGCTGCCGAGGGGCTGGGGCTCATCATGGAGCGGGTGCCCAACGGCCAGGACGTCGAGACCTACAGCTGGACCAGCAGCAGAGACCCCTCCCATCCCCTCCTGGATGACGTCATCAGCGTCAATGCCGTGGAGCAGATGGTCGCCATGCATGGCCGTGGCCTCAGCCACAACGACCTGCACGGGCGCAACATCTTGCTCCGCGGCACCAGGGGGGAGGTGGCCATCATCGACACCGAGAGCGTCGGCCTCCTCTCGCCAGACCACCCCGCCAGCGGCCAGGCCCCCCCGCACATCACCAACCCGCCC